TTGTATATGAATACCCCCATCTCTACTTATAACACAAAAAAGAACAGGGAGAAAGAGAAAGCAAACCAATTCAGCTGCCGATTCTTCCTGCTGTATACTTGTTCTTATAAGGACCAAACGAATGGAATTCAACTAGAGAAAAAGGGAGGCAAATCGAGCTGGTTTCTCTGCAAAGCAGAAGTGAAATTTCTTTACTTCCAGCATGGGTGGGCAAAATGCTGTCCAAAGTTCCTCACAACCTCCACAGGCAATTTAAGGAGATATTTAAAGGAGATTTGTAATGGCTGCAAGGATCAAAATATGTGTAATATGAAATTTTACTTATTTTCAATCAATGACCTTACCTACATGTTTTATTTAGATTTTTTGAGGTAGGTTTCAAATCATAAAACATGAAATAGAACACTTAAGTGCAACAAATGGTGTGACAATGAACAGGAATGAGATATTTTCTATCAGATAATAATAGGTGACTCAAGATTTACTACACATAAACAAATGTTATGGCTCTAACAATGATGCAAGATATACCATAAGCAGTTAGGAGCTAGTATGAAAATATGACAAAAATAATATCAGATTTTATGGAAAATCAATTAACATCATTTCAGTCTGTGCTCTAACTATACGTGCCAAAAAAGAAGAGATAGAAAGCTTTTAGATAGGTATTGAGGAAACAACAAAAGCAGGACTACTAATAATCATGGTGACTAGAATACAAAAGCAGGCAAATTGGACCAAACACTTTTGTCAATTTGGCACAGGTGATAGAAACAAAACAGGAAAGCAGCTCACAGGCTGAAATTCCATGGTGTAAATGTATACTGTACTTTACAAATTGGATGATGTCATCATTCACAATGAGGAGAACTTTTAATATTGGAAAATCACCATCAAATTGTTGGCAATTATCCCTAAGCAATGATGGGATTCTTGTTGGCAATTTTCAAATATTAAAGGCACCCCACACATTCCAAGGTTCCCAAATGCTTCCCAAGGAGAAAAAGGGTCCTCAGGGAGCCTCAGAATGTGAAGCAGGGGATAGGAAGTTTCTAACTGAATACAGTTTAAAAGATCTGTCACTGAATGATGACATTATCAGGCTTGCATGGCGTAAAATTATAAAAATAGAATTCCAGCAATAGGATTTGTGAAGGCCACAATCTGCTTTTAGCAAATACAGTACATGCTTTATGCAACCAAACAAGATGATTATACCTGTGGACATCACCTGAAGACCAACACAAGAACGCGCCAACAAGCATGGAAAATAAAACAATGGCCTACAAACTTGAAACACTCAGCATGCATACCAATCATAAATAAAGGTGCTGAAGATTTCATTAAATGTAGGACCATCACACACAAGCAAAGCGATGCACAACATCTTATAACGAAGACCTTTGCCATATATGGAGCAAGAAATGGTAGATTTTCAAGCTGGATTCAGAAAAAAAGAGGTACTAGAGATAATATGGCAAATAGACACTGCTTCTCCTAGAATACGCCATTGAGCTATCTAGCAGTGGTCCCATAAGGACTGATTTGAAGGCACATGACAACAAATTCCACTATGTATGACAAGCTTTTCGCCAACAAACAGTGTATCACACCCTGACTTTTACTGAGGCAAAATTCAATTTTCATTCTGTCAATAGGATTTCCCATCAAGAGACATGTATGGTATCGACTACTACCTTTTTGTTTCTCTCCCATCAGAAAGTGGAGAGCAACATAGCTACAGTACTCTGACTTTTGATGCATCCAAAATCAACCTCTAAGATTATTCAGCAAATACGTTTTCCATCTTTTTATCCTTCTTCTGACATTTATTTTGCCTTGGAATATCAGCTGTAACAATCGTACATTTTGTTTTTTAATACAGTATGTGACTGAAGTAATCTAGGGTGGGTGTTTTTTTCCTGCATTGTGTGTTTCACCCAAGTTCTGTGAAAGCCCTGCAAATCTGTCAAAGAAGTAAATCTAAGGATTATGTGATGTACTAAACTTGAGAAAGATGGCCTTTTTCTTACGAAATAAGGGGGAAATTTCAGAATAGAGTAAGACTTGGGACTTCATTACACGATTCCTAACACACTTTAAAACAAGCCATTTACTTGAGTGCTTTTTAAATAATTACCTACTGTCTTTCACTTGTCATCTGAAGATCCTCTGGTCACTGCAAAGAACTCAGAGGAGTGTTTTAGGATACACACAGCTCCAAGGCCAGGTTTTCTTGGTGTGTGTGTGTTTTGGTCGGAGACCCTCGCAACTAGTCTACATGAGCTGGGTGTGAACCACAGAATACAACATTGTGGTTGTGTGCTGCTCATCCATCATTCAAATTTTCTCACTGAGGAACCTTGGAGTTACTAAAACATTACAAAACCTTTTAAAAACAATCACTCCTCTGTAGCAACAGGAACCAAAGACGTGCTGTTGGGCAAACAAGAGTCCCATGTAGCAGCATTATTTTTTATGACAGAAGTCAGTATGACAACAATTCTGCACGTAGCAGTAGTCTTCAATTCAAATGCACTTCCTTGTTTGACTCAGCCTTGAGAAATGTTTTTCTCTATGACAAAGGAGTCGGGAACTCACCCCTCCCCAAATTATTAAGTTTTACAAACAATTAAAAACGACAACAGCTAGTTTCTGCTAGCAGTGACTTGTAACAAAAATTAATTTTTCCTGGAAACATTAGTTGCATAATTCCAGCCTGATAGAGAGAACCCAGTTATGACTGCTTCCTGGGAAGAGAAATCCACTCAGCAATTATGGATAAGAACTCTCGGTAATTGTTTGTACATGTTCAAATTTGAACACTGAAAGTCATTGAAACCACATTCTGCTGAATTTTGATTCAAGGTGAGGTTACACTATGAAAATAAATCTGGAGATAGACAGGGGGGTCAAAGTTGGTTTAAAGTCATGTGGTAGCCATGTGGGTTTTGGGTCAATTTGTGTGTCCCCCTGGGAAACCTTTTAATCTGTTTTTAAACTGTACAGTGGTGCCTTGCTTAACGGGCGCACCGTTCGAATCCGCATAGTGACGCGTTTTTTGCGATTGCTAATGCGATTGCAGTGCAATGCTTAGATAGGCTAAACATTGCATTGCAATGATTGGTAAGCGTTTCACTTACCGATCTTCGCACTGTGATGTTTAGAAAACAGCTGATCGACGGTTCCAAAATGGCCACCAGCAGCGTTTTTGCACCCTGCCTTCGTTTACTGGGCAGCGAAAATGGTGGTCGGATGGGGGAATCTTCGCTTACCGGTGAGTTTTCTCCCCAATAGGAATGCATTAAACTGAGTTTAATGCATGCCCATGAAGTTTTCCCCCGCGTATAGCGACAAATCCGGATAGCGACGTTAATCCTGGAACGGATTAACGTCGCTATGCGGGGCACCACTGTATTCTATATTGGTCGAGGGGGCTATCTGGGCTTTGTCCTGTGCTCACCCACCCTCACTCTGGCTGCCTCTCACAGTCACTAGCTGCTGCTGCTGTGATGTTAATTTCAATATATTTATTTATTTATTTTTAATACCTGCATTCTGGCATAGTACTAGTTCAGTATGACAGAAAAAAATTAAAACAGAACGAGCACATGTGCAGGGACACACACACACACACACTGCGGAGGAAAAGCTAGGGAATTCTGGGGCTGACCAGAGGGAAGGAACATCAATGAGTGGCAAAGAGAAAGTGACCAGAGAAAGTGACCAGATCAGCAGCTTCTAGGCTTGCAAAGGAGAAAGGATTCCTCACCACCATCAAACCTTCCTCACTCTGATCTGCAAAGTTTCCCTGTCTGCAGCCTGAAACTGTGATCTTGGTACCATTACTTGACAAACACTACAGACACAATTTACACTGACGGAGACCTTCATATGTGCCAAAATGCTTCAAATTAAATCAGTTTCACCCATAATTTAAAATAAACAACCCTCTTGCAGCCCAATAAAATACCTTGTTTTCTAACAAAGAAACCCAAAACGCTTCCTGGGCAAAAAAAAAATTCAGAATTTCAAAATCAATTTCAAACATGCTAAACCAGATTCAAAAACTGGTGTGTTTTTACATGTAACCACACAATCACAACATGCCTTAAAACAGGCTGGAAAATAATGAACGAAGACTGGGATGTATGCCTATCACCAAGGAATATCCTTCATCACCTGTAAGTTAAGTCAGGCCTCACTCTCGTTTTTTCCTCCCGTCAAAATGGGGCTGACTTAAATGATGTATGTAGTCATCCGTTTTTCCCAGCATTGCCCAGCAGCCTTGTCTTACTAGCTGCCTCCCAGTAAATTTTTGTCTTCCCACGATGTGGGAAGGAGTGGGGTCGGCGGGGGGGGGGCGTTTAAGAACTAACCCCAAATTAATTCCCCCATGGGGCGTGTTTGTTCACGTTCATGACACTTGCAAGATCAACTAAGTAGCAGAACTTGGAAAGGTAATTTCCCAAACATTTCCTAATGAGTCTTTTCAGTCCATCTTCGCCTAACAAAGAAAAGTACGCAAAATTAACAAAAACTGAACCAAGTACTGTACACCGGAACGGAGCATTAGCTCATGTAAAAAAAAAAAGGATGAGGAAATAAAATCGCGAAGAACAAAGAAAGGAAACGGGTGGGGGTGGGTGGGCTGCGTCTCTCGTTCCTTTAAATCAACAACTCTAAAATCAGATTAAAAAGGCAATCCGTACCTCGCCTACATCGCAGTGCTCTGCGAATAAAAAAATGAAATGGGAGGAGGAGGGTGGTGGTGGAAAGAAGTGACCAGCAAATTAGGGAGGAACGGAGCTTCCAAGCCTTCGAGAGACCTCGGGAATCCCAGCAGCCAAGGCCGCCTCAAGCCCAGGAAGGGACCTCTCTTTCCTCCATGCTGGATCTAAACAAGCGACCGCCTGCAGCAGGCCGACCCCGACCCCCGACCCCTCCAAGCTCTCCCTTCCGCTTCAATCCCCCCCCCCCCCTTTTCCCTTCCGTCCTACCTTCCGCCTGCGGTTTCCGCACGCCAGGCTCCCCGCAGAGGACTGGGGACGAGAGGACGAAGGAGAGGAAAAGCCCCGCAAGCCCCACCATCTTTCCCACGAACGCCCTGCCCGCCGCCCACACAGGGGACCGACCCAAAAGGCCCGGGCCGAGGCGCCGAGGGTCCCCCCGAGGGAAGCGGAAAAGCCTCCCTCACTTCCGCTCTCGAAGCCCGCGGCCTGCCAGGCGCCCCCCCCTCCCTCCTCCAAGACCGGCGGGCGCACGAGCGCCTGTGCCAGGAATGAG